ATTCCCATGCCCCGTCCCGTGCTAGTAAATGCTATTTGGGAAAAATACACACAAAATTTTGCTTTTATTGATAAAACGAAAGGGAAAAGACTTTATGAATGAATAATAGTGATAATATAATGGGTAATTGAGTCTATTTAGTTGAAAGTTCGAGTCTAACTAGTGGAAGAAAAGTCAAAATAGGAGATATATGAATGGATAGGGTAAGAAATTGACCTAGAACGGGTCAAGAATGGGGCGGGGCAGAGCGAGTCGAAAGTTGATATACATGCCCCGCCCCACGCTACTGTGGGTCGGGTAATATACGCCCCATCGCGGGTCAGGTCGGGTAATACCCGACGGGGCGGGTTCAAATTGCCATCCCTAGTAACTACAGAGTTATGCGAGCGATGATTTTGTGAGGAACCGTAAGTTCTCTTTGCGCTTTTAATTCATTGATGATAAATATAAAAAAAAATTGGTGTATTTACATCGTTTGGTTTACGTGATAATTATGGGGATTGCTAAACGTCTCCCTACCATTTACTTAAATCGCCCTAATTTATTATATAAAATTACTTCTATAACCTTCTGTTTTTAAATTTCCTTCGAAAATAGCCGCAGAATTGTCGAAGCAGGAAGCGAATCTCCCTGGCCGTATTGATAGGTTTTAGATCATCTTCTTTCCAACTCCAAGCCCCAACCTTCTTCCTCCCCTTCCATCGGTTCCCTTCTTTGTCTCGCCGGCGGTTTCGTCAAGAGTGCCGGTCTCGTAGCCGGGCATTTCAAACATTTGAGGACAGCGGCGACTAGTTGCAATTTCAATGCCGGAGTGGCCAACGAGCTTTACCCCTTTTCATGAAACTGGTAGGTTTTAGATCATCCAAACGCCAACGAGCTTTACCCCATTCCATGGAATTGAACCCAAATTAAATGGCAGCTCTACTGGGAAGATAATTCCACTTTTCGCACCCCTGATGAGGATGATGCCTCCATGCCCAAGTTCTTCCCCACCAGATAATTTCCGATCAGCAACAGCCTCTCAATCGCCGCCGTCTCACCCTTCGTCCCTGTGATCGTTGCCTTAACCTTATACGCGGCCTGGAATCATCCGGTGAATTTATTGGTCTCTATAGTTTTTTTTAAGCAAGGACAGTTAAGTAATTTTTTGCTTTAAATTAGGGTGATTCCATAAAACTAGGGCGATATTTAGCCATGCAGATAATTATTGTGGTATTTAAAGATGTATTGAGCCTATTAGTGTATTATCATTTGATGTATTAGGCAAATATCTTGTTTGGAGGTTTAGATTTTGTTTTGTTGTAAAGCCACAAAAGTTGGGTTAATTGCATGGTTGGTCACTGATATTATAAAAAAAAAGTTCAAGTTTGGTCACTCAAAATATTTAAATCCATTGGTGGTACTTCAATTTACTGAAACCGTTCACGTTTGGTCACTCTCCGTCTAACTCCGTCAACTTTTGCTTACGTGGCGGTCAACTCTAAAAGTTGATTGTTAAATGTGTGACGTGGCAATTTAAAAGTAATAAAATTAAATTTTTTAAAATTGTCATCTCATTTCCACCTCATTAAAACTTTTATTTAAAATAAATAAATTTAAATTCTTCCTCCTCCAGCTCTTTTCCTCTTGCCCACCACCATCCTTCTGTTAATGAATGAATAGCAACGATGGGAGTAGTTAAAAGTGACAAGCTTGCTTCTCTGTCTTTCTCGGCTTCCTCTTGTCCATCCCCACCATTTTCATCTTCTTCTTTGATTGGAGTTTTGTTGGTTACTCTGCTGATTCAATTTCTGCTTCTGCTTCCTCCATGCCAAGCTCAACCTCCAACCCTTTGCAGCCTAATTGATCGAGCTTCCCTCCTGTCATTCTTCTCCAACATCTCCACCTCATCTCCTCCATTAAATTGGTCCTCTGCAGAGTGCTGCAGATGGGAAGGAATTGGGTGCGATGCAATCAGTGGCCAGATGACCCATCTAGAGCTGCCCTTCAGAGGCCTTGTCGGCACCCTCTCCCCGTCTCTCGCCAACCTCACCCGCCTCTCTCATCTCAACCTCTCCCACAATCGCCTCTATGGAGCCATCCCACTTGCCTTCTCCTTCTCTTCTCTGCCCACCCTCCAGATTCTTGTGAATTTGTCCAGCAACAATTTCCACGGGGAATTACTTCCAGAAGATGGTGGTGGTGTCGGCCCGGATATTGGGGTATTGATAGAAGAAATTAGGATTTTTAATTTATTTAAAATAAAAGTGATAATGAGGTGGAAATGAGATTTTAATTTTTAAAAATTTAATTTTATTATTTTTACATTGTCACGTCACACATTTAACGGTCAACTTTTAGAATTGACCGCCAGTCCGGCACATAAGCAAAAGTTAACGGAGTTGGACGGAAAGTGACCAAACATGAACGGTTTCAGTAAACTGAAGTAACACCAATGGATTTATATATTTTGTGACCAAACTTGAACATTTTTTGTAATTTCAGTGACCAACCATGCAATTAACCCCATAAAAGTTAACTTTAAGTGATAGGGAAGAATCCCAACAAATTAGCCCCTTAATTATCACTCATTTTAAGTCAACTTTGACACAATACACCAAATCACAACTTCCAAATGACCTCTTAATTATTACTCATTTTGAATGATAATTTATCACATCAAGCAAATATGTATTGTTTGTGAAAAAAATTCATATATACTTTTTATGGGCCCACTGATTATCAAAGTAGGATTGTTAACAAAGACTTTTCTTTATAACAAAAAAACACAATCTAAACTGCCAAACAACAATCCCCAAGAATCATCTGTACTAGATCACAACATTGCATAAAGTAACGAAGAGGCAATCACGGAGAGGTGTACATGGGTCGGGTGGTTCGGGTTTAGTCATTTTAATCACCCGACCCATGCACTACGGTTTGGGAAATATCAAACCCAAACCCACCCAAAAAAATTTAAACTCTACGGTTTGTTTCTAATTGGGTTGGGTCGGGTTGGCGATATTTTTAAGTAAAAACTCAACCCAACATAAAATATATAATTATTCTACATCATAAAAATATTTTATAACTAATTAAAACGAATGAACCAAGATGAAAGGTATGAAAATTCACAAATGTTGTTTAAATTTTAATAAAATGTGATTTACTTCAATATATGTTTTGTTTTTTTCACAGCATTTGTTGAAATAGGCTAAAAATGTTATAAACAAACGCATCATTGATAGGGGTGGGATTCAGTCGGTAAACGGTAAATTGTTTACCGAATTTACCGGTTTCGGTATACCGACGTTGGCTAAACTGTTTACCGATTACCGATACCGATTTGTAACCGGTTTACCAATTACCGGTAAACGGTTACAAACCGGTATTACCGAAATACCGGCCCGGCGGAGGTGAAATTGGCATGAGAAAGAACTGAGAAATACAAATGGATGTTTTGTTTAAGTTTGGACCTGATGGCATTCATCTCATATATATCACTCGTACAAATGTCAAAAGAATGATTTTCCTAGCTATTACAAAGGTAATATGTTTACTCTACCAGAACACTCTTGGTTGCTGTAAAAAACAATGGTACACCGAGTCTCTCCAGTCGGAAGAATCAGGCTGAGACTGAAGACTAGTAGAGCCGCGGAGGAAGGCTTTTGTCACTGATATGGCGGTGGCGGTTCTAGCGGTGGCAGAGGAATGGCAGAGGAGCGGGGCGGAGGGAGTGCTACAACGCCGACGACTGGGGTCTGAGAGGCGATGAGGACACGAGTCGAGGTGGACTGGGGCAGAGGGTGCTGCAACGCCGACGACGCGGCATGGTCAGTGAAGCGGAGTCGCGAGTCGCGACGAGAAGATTTGGAGAAGGAGAGGCGGCGGGCGAACTGCGAAGCGAGAAGCAGGTGGGTCTGGAGGCTTGGGGAGGGCGGTAAAACGCCGCGTTCCGGTTTCGGTAATACCGACTTACCGTCGGTATTTACCGAGACTGGGGGCGGTAAATTGGATCTCCCAAGCGGCCCTCGATTACCGTTACTGTCGGTAATCGGTTTATCGTTTATCGCCGGTTACCATTTCGGTAAAATGATAAACCGATAACCGAGTTACCGAATCCCACCCCTAATCAATCATATATTATTCTATTGAAATTGTACACAAGAAAAAGGATTACATGAATCATAACTAAATTCAATTTATGTCTAAACTTTAAGTCGAAGAATGCATTAGATTAGGGAGACCATAAGAGAAAAACATGGCGAAATATCTTAATTTTCTCATAAGTATATGACTATATACAACATAAATATTTTTTAGATCCGAACTCATACTAATAGTTGGAACACGAGTTGGGCCGGGTTCTACGGGTTATGTAATCCATAATCCAAACCCAACCCAAAAGAGGCAGGTTGTACAAAAGAAAACCCTCACCCAATCCAAAACCTTCGTTTTAGCGATAAATACGGATGAGTTGGATCAGGTTGGACAAGTGGGTCGGTTTGCGGGTGTGTTTGTTCACCACTAATCACGGCACCTCCATACATGAAGAAGTCACAGAGCACCTGAATCTACATTTCGTTTACAAACACGTTCTCCATTATGATGATAACATCAAAACAAGAGAGAACAAAAAAGCCAATGAAGACATGCGCCCTCATAGTATTTTCCATATAGCCAAAAAGAACCAATGCCGCCCACATCGTCTACTGCAAGCTATCATGATTAGCCTATAGTATTACCAGACAAGAATTTCTACCCCCTACCACTTCTTCTCCCCCATATAAACCCAAGAAACAACATCAACATACCCTGACCTCCCTCTCCTCTAATTTGGATCAAAACCAACCAAAAAGAAAAGTTCCCTCCTAACGAAAACTTCAGTTTACCTCGCCGCCTACTTAGCTTCCAACCATCTCATCTTAATGCTACTGAACAAATTTCCAGACGAATCCCTGCACTTCAAAAATAACTGGCCGCCATCAAAAAGAAAAATTACCCTCAGTTGAACTCGGTTTTCAAGCTGTAGCAGACACACGCGGCGCCGTGCTTCTATCCACATTCACAGGCGGCCCATCAGAACGGCTCGTACGCCCACCACCATTGTTTCCCGTCTTTTCAGATCTGCGATATCCTTCACCACCCCCACGGTTTGAAAAGGCACCACCACCCCGACCGGGATTCCTGCTCCCATAATCACTGCTGCCACTGCCGCCACGGCCATATGCCCTACCACCACCTCCAAAGCCTCCTCGCCCCCTTACTCCATCATTTCTGTAACCAGTGCCGCCACCTGATGAAAAGCGACCCCTACTATTTCCTGCAACGATGGAAGTTACTCGGTCAACTCAAAGAAACCTGACGCATCTTTTAGTTGGAGTAGTACTCCATTGTAACCATCATATAAAGCTAGATATAGCCCTTTCCTAAATGAGATTCTAATCCATGTTTCCTACTAGTTAAATACCATTATAGTGAGCAAGTGGATTTATTAAACTGTCGTAGGAAAGAACTCAAGTAAAAAGGATGTCAATGATGTCTGAAAAAGTCATGTACCCTCTAGGTAACAAAAATTCTACTAGAACATGTACAACGTGTGACTTTTTAGAGACAATTCACATCCACAATTGAGAGATGTGAGCTTGAAGTACATAATTGTACAAGTCTAGTGAACAGCAGGCAAGAAATTCACAGAATCCATTGGAGATATCCCAATACCTACCTCGAACAGTAGACCTCTTTTCCTCAACGACAACCCGGCAACCATTGATCATGATAGGTGAAGCCTGCGGTACAAAAAAAAAAATATAGAACATCAACATTTAAGTGTTAAAAGCTGAATACAAGTTAAGAAGCTTTGGCAGCTATTGAATAATATGAAGCGTCTTCTACAAAATCATAAAGCACCAGACAGAGAAAACACAAAGGAACAAGCATCCTTGTTTGTTTTTTAAACTCTCTCGAGTCCTCCTTGTTGCTGCTTATTCCATAAATTTCATTATATGCAGTCATTCTCACTAGAACTTGCATGTGTAAGCATCCCTTGTAGAACCTCACCACAGGTTCTAGGAGGAAAGATACTCCCACAGAAGGCCAGAATAGACAAAGTTGTTAAAACAGAACAAATCGAATCGAGGCGTGTAGGAGAAAGTGGAGTAGGTGAAGTAACGGATGAAATAGTATTCCCAAGACACAGTGGTGGAAACCCAGCTCTGATATAACATAATCTTGACTGATTTCCATAAAGCAAAATGTAGAAACCCACTGAACGGTCCTTCTAACTTGAGGATACTTCTGTAACACACTTTGCCCACATTTAAAAACAACATAAAATAGTGCAAGACTGGGAACCAAAAGATTTACCCAGCAATTTTTTTAATAAAAAAGTGACTTAATAGAATGATTACTTCTAGGAATCAAGTCTGAGCACACTACAGAAGCAGAGCATAATAAAAGAAAAAGAGAAAAGCACATGATGGACATAATAACATTCATGCAAACCTCTATTGCACTTTGTGCCGCACTGGCAGCCTCAAATTCCACAAAGCCAAAAGAAAACCCCTGTAATAAGAGATGTGGTAAGATGGCAATAGCAGTTCAATTAGGTGGAGATAGGGTAGCCTTCATGTAAGAGCAACACAACTACCTTTTGGTTTTTAACTTGAATACCACCAGCACGGATTGTCCCGAACTTCTTGAATTCATTCTCAATCAGGGCATGGGTGGCATCAAAAGGCAACCCTTTGACATAGATGGAAGGACCATCAGCTGTGGGTAACAAATTAAGCAGAAAACGGAATAGATAAGAATGTGGAAGAACAAATTCCCCCAGCCTTAACAAGAATGTAAACTTCATCCTCGGAGAATGAAGATTTAAAGCATCATCAAAAGGATCACCTTCCGTGTCTTGGGTACTCCCATTTTCAGTCCCATTTGAGTTCAAGGTTTGTGGTTCAGATACTTGGGAGGGAGGTACTGGTGTAGGCAATTGTTCTTGATTCTTTTGAGCAGATCTCAGTGGAGAAGCAGCAGGCGATGAAAATGGTGCAGCATTCTCCTTCATAACTTTCACCTGTAATAAACAGCTCAATTTAAGACTTGGGGGATGCAAACAGCAGCATAATTGACAGTATCTCTACCCAAATATAATACTAACTAACAGTATTAAGTTACAAACACGAAATGATTGGAAGAACTAACAAACTAATGATACAATTGGAACCATACTTACAATAGAAGCATATGACTTCTTAGGTGCCTCCTCAATCTTAGCATCGGATCCGATGACCACTTGTGAATCCATTTGTGAATCTTCGGGAACTTCATCAACAACTTCAGGCACTGGTACTTCCTCTTCCACTGAAGCGTCCCCATTGTCGGATGGGTCATAAACTTCACCTCCATTAACATCCTCTGACAGAATGGGTCCTTGCTCCAAAATATGATTTTCCTTAACAAGCGAAGAATCTAACCAGAAAAATATATTTAAGATGAATAGAAGGAAGCAAAAAATTTCAGTAAGGCATAACATTTTACATTACCCTCTTCAGTAGTAGCAGGGACTTCAAAAGCGTCAACTGGATCAGGCTTCCCATTATAAACCTTGGCTTCATCAACATACCGGAATACATCATTCAAAACAAAATAGCCCTTTTCTTGAGGTGCTAAGAAGAAGCTCTGGGTGAATTTCTGTCGCAAATCATCATTTCCAGTCAGATATCCCGTCACAAGGACTAGGACTCCACCATTGAAAGATTCTTGTGAGTCGACTGTCAGAATTTCGACCTTGAAATCTCCACAAACAAGTGAGAGTATCTTCTCATTAATGGCCTGCACATGCAGAAGAAAAGAATTGAGCAAGCAGGGAGAAAATAGAGAAATCATTTTTGTGCGCAGCATAACGAGTTCTATTGGAGTCTAAGACAGGCAAACAACCCTAAGTTCTCATCTATAATGCAAGGACAACAAGAATGACAAGAAGACAATATGAATTATAAAGCACTGACCGGAGTTCCACTATATACTATATAGGATACTACAAATAAATTTTACTCAATCTGTGAGGTAGTAGAGAACTTTTCAGTAGATAGCTCGTTTCTGATTTCTGTCAATGAAGATGACCAAATGAGAGGAACGATCATTCTGGGTTGGTTCATGGACATCACGAACATTCAAAAGAATATAGTAATCAAGGAAAAGAGAACTGAACGTGTACGCAGCAACCAAGAGGAATAGCTACCAATCAGAAACGCGGCAATACAGAAACAAAACAGTACCTGCATTGTCGTTGTTGTACTCATGATCCCGTTCCCTTCAGGGCGGCCAAGCTTACTATCATCCTGGTAAAATCTATGAACAAGCTCTGGAGATTGACGCAAGATAAGGTAGTATTGGTGAACAAATGCGTTGCCAACCTACAACCATCGCCCATTCCATTAAAGGACGCAATTGGGGGGGAGAACAAGGGAAAAAGGCAAACTCTCTCATTAGAGATGAAAGAATCACGAAACATACTACGTCGGCAGGAGGAATTGTGGCGTGCTGCACGGGAACTGCGGCTGCTGACATCCTGCTGCAAATCTCTGACAAGCAATAGCGAGAAAAATAACAACAGCTAATTAACCTCGCAGTCCTTTCTTCCGTGAACAAAAACACTCCAACCAAACCCTAACAAATAACATTTCGCGATAGACAACGCAGTAGGGAGGAAACGGCCAACCCCCAAAACTGGAAATAGAGCAGACATTTTCGAATCTCATAGAGAAGGGGAAAAAAAACACTCGAAGCAGTAGGTGATTTAACGAGAAAACGGTTTCTTTCACCGGAAAACTAGTTCCTACCAGAAGCAGAGCGAAGAGATAAGCTACGAGAGCAGAAGCAAATCGACGTGCCGAAGCGAGGTAGAAAGGATAAGAGACAAGAGGCTTTACCTGAGAAAGTTAGGGTAAGATTCGGATCGTATAGAGGTGTCGGGCTGCGAGCGTGCAAGAGAGAAGTGAGAGAAAGGGGGCGGAGAGTGCAGCTTGGCGGGTGGCGGTGGAGCTTTCTCTCGCCTCGGCGGTGGGGGGAGAATGGTTGTTCCTAGGGTTTTGCTGCAGATCTTGGTCGACGAAGATCGAGGACGAGTGAAAATACAAGGGAAAAGAGACGGACAGTGAGTGACAGAGAGAGGGAGAAAAAAGGAATTATGGGGTCGTATGATTCTGATGAGGCAATTTGACCCAATTATTTTAAAATGGGTTAATTGGGCCAAATTTTCTCATTGGCCATAAAAAAAGCTGATGGAACAATTGGACTGGAAAATTGAAAGAAAGAAACCCGCTGCATGCCCGTGTACTGTACACGCAGACACCTTTTACTGTACAACGTGACTGAGATTTACTGTTTCAAATTGGCGTGGGCTGGCGTGTGGGCTGTTGTTGGGTGAGGCCTCATTGGGATCTGACGGAGTTTGGGGGCTCGGTCGGGGTGGGACTGGTCGTTGCCTTCTGGTTGCCCTTCTTTGGGGTCGTTTGGTGGCCCCGACGCGCGTTGGTCATCAGAGATCGATATTTGACTTTGGCCCGAGCGGGCACGCGGATCGAGGGTTTTTCGGTTACTCTGTGGGTGTTCTACTGGGTAGGGATCGTTGAGTGGTGGGAGATCTGTGGGTTTGGGAGAGACTGTGCTGGGAGATGGGATAGCTCAGAGATGGTGGGCCATGAGAGGGATTGAAAAGTTGATTGAAAGGAGTTGTGTTGCTCAGTATCTCTGCATTGGGGTCGTTTGGTGGCTCTGACGCGCGTTGGTCATCAGAGATCTATATGCTGCTTTGGCCCAAGCGGGTGCGTGGATCGAGGCTTATTTAGTTGCTTTGGGTGTTCTGCTGGGGAGGGATCATTGAGCGGTGGGAGATCTGGCGGGTTTGTGGATGTGTGGATGAGAGTGACATGCTTGGACAGTGGAGAGGTGGGTCGTTCGAGAAACAGAAAAGGGTTTTCTAGATACAGAGAGATACCTTGACATGCTTTTTCTCTACTGTATGAAAAGACCGGTTTTTGGTGTCTCTAGGAGGGGTTGGAAAGTCCTTGCGTTGTTCGACGCTGAGAGAGGCTATTACTGTTTTGTGCAGGCTTAGGCATTAATTAATTGAGAGGATCTGTTTCTTTTCTTTTTCTTCAGTTTGGTGCTTAAAGAAAACTTTGCTTCTCTTTAGCATGTTACTCTCTCCCCTTTTGTTATTCAACTCTCCGACTGCTCTCTCTCTCTCTCTCCCTCGATGTCCTCTCTGCGTTGGGATTTCTCATCTCTCTTCTTGGGAGAAGGGCGGAGTTGAAAGCCACGAAGAAGAAGGTTTGAGAGATCTGGAGGAGATCCAGACCCACTGGAGGACAGTTGAGAGGTCTGGAGAAGATCCAGTTTCGCAGGTTTTGTATTCGTCCCAGGTGATTTATCCGTCTCTCTATGTTGAGTTTGCTTTTCTCTTTTTGCAAGTCTCTTAATCGTTTGGATCCTGTGTTTCTGTTTGTGATTGCAGGTAGTTGAAAGGATGATTAGCTACTTTTGTTCGCTGGGCCATCTCCGATTTATCGGTATATAATCACATCTTTCTTTTCATCCTTTTGTTTGAGGGATTGTTGGTGATTTTCGGAATCTTAAATCAAGGATTGTTTTATGAGTTGTGTGGATCTGATAGGTTTTTTGCCATTTCGATGAGGATGAAGGGGTTGATTGGATGAGGATTGAGGAGCCCGCCATCTGCTGTTTCCCTGCACCAGTGAGGATGAAGAATGCGTCGTTTGTTTGCGCCTTCTTCTGACCAGTATAGAATACTGACTGTACAGATCCGCAAGTTTTCATAAACTCTTATACTAAAGGTCGCGTCAACTCCCTGTCTTTCCCTCTACTTTTTTTCTTCTTTTGCGTTTTAGGTTTGTTGTGATCATTGTTGTTACAAATCCCTGATTAGTTCCTCTGTTTCTTTGTTCTTTTGATGCTGGGATTTTTACATTGAGGGACAAGTATAAATGGGTTCGGAGAAGATCAAAATCCAGAGATTGGCCTGTTGTATTAGGTAATTGTGCTCTCACTCCCTTTCTCTCTTGAGGTTATCAGTCTTAATTAATTAATTTTAAATGGGGTACTCTCTTTTTCCCAGCATCAGTAGAGTGAAGTCTATTTCCTCTCTTTTCCTTGGTGACAATGGCTAGAATTTCACTTTAAGAAAAGCTTGGTCAGTCGTGATCGTCCTATCCCTGCGAAATGACAGCACACAAGTCTGCTTTAGAAGTGGGTAATACTGAATTTGCAGCTGTTTGTTTACGGTCTTCATAGTGATTCTACTGTATTCAGAGTTTGCTGGGTCTTGGAGATGAATCACTATAGTCACCCAGTAGTTCCATTTGATGTCCCCATGTTTTATTACTTATGAAGGTTCCTCTTGAACCTCTGGCAAATTGCCCTTCCGTTTATGGAATCAACCGATAGTTGATGTTTAATCACTCACACGTTTGTTAAGCACTGAATTTTAATTTAATCTACTACATCATTGTTATTGTGCGCCTATTTGAATGTTCTTTTATGTCCTCCCATTCCTGCTGCTTCTGTTCTCGGTATGATTCATTTGAAAAGATGTTTTCCTCAAATGCCCTAGACTTTTGGTTAACGTCTCTCTTTTCCGCAAAACCATCGAGAGCTTACAAGGCCTGCAATTTTTCTGTTCCTCAGGCTATCATATGGTGGGCATGCAAGCAAAACATATCGAACACGTGAAAATCAGGGCATGGAACCATTGTATCAGAGTGCTAATTATAATAAGGTGTCTTGATCTGGAATATGCTTTGTTAGTAGGTTAGGTGAAGACTTGACTTCACAACACATGTATCATTCTCTGTGTGAACTGAACACGTGCAAAGTGAGAGACAGCCAAATGAAGGTTGTTGGTGTTGTTCATAACCTTTTTTATTGTCATTTGTTTCTGTTGTCGATCAACCAAGATCAACCAAACTCTTTCGACTCCGTTGTGAAGATTTGCATCAATAAATTCGGCATGCTTTTCCTTTTTATCTTATACCATATTCTAATTCTAAAGTACTCGAGAATTGTACCAGATATGTATGTTTTGTTTATCGGACCATTAGCATTACATACATAGATAGTCTTTCATAAGAATTTTAATTAGTTCTAGTATACTGCTTTATCAAGTGAGGCAATATTCTCTATAGTCTTTCATAAGATCCAACTCAATTTTGCTTAAACTCTTCATGTTTCATTCATAAAATTCTTGAACTTGGATTGTTATAAAAACAATATTCGGACTCGGAAAATATGCATATAATTTTTATCCATTTGTCCATCATGGCGCCAAAGTAAATTCTTTCTAACTATCAAATTTTCATGTGGGTTTTAGATAGTTCTTGAAAACGTGAATTTGAGAACTTCTATATTAACTAAGGTCGCATCCAAAACCTGAACTTGAGAACTTCTATTGAAAGAAAGGTCACACTCATCCCGTCGCGGAGTGCGGGAAAAAAAATATAGTGTGAATAATGAGACAATTGGTAGGTTTTCTAGTAGCCTTGGCAACGGGCGGTAGGGCTGGACATGCGGGCGGATCATCCGCGGGTTTGGGCCGACCCACCCGCATTTGACGCGAATTTCGTTAAGTGGGTGGGTCTGTGGGTGGGTGACGGGTTGTGCTGGGAGCCATCCGCCGGGTGGTGGGTGGGTTGTGGGTAAGTGTGCGGGTGACCCGCTCAACCCAACAGCAAAAAGATCAAAGTTGTTGGCGCTAGAGAGAGGAGAGTGGAGACGTTAGATATAAACTCGGACTGCTCCTGGAGTTTGAACCTCAAAGCCAACCTTCCTAATAGAGATCCCCTCTTCTTCCCTTTACTTTTTCCTCTAATTCTTGTGCCTAGATCACCGCTCTTTCCTTTGTGGAATTATTTTCCTTAGTTCCTTGCACCTAATAATCGTCTCAATTTGTAGAAAACTCTTTCATAATAGAATTTCTATCCAATTTAAGAACTAATTCGACATTTTTCGCCCTATTTCAACTTCTTGTTTCCCTCGATGATTCTCTTCACCTATTATCATGTCAAGTTGACTCCTTTATATTATATATATTGTGATGTGGGTGAACCCACAAACCCACCCTCATCATCCACCATCCGTCCGACCCAACTCGAGACTAAATGTGGGTGGGTGGTGGGTTAACAATTATCAATTCGTTTAAGCGCGGGTGGGTGCATTTTATGGTCAAAATCCACCCGACCCACCCAATACTCACCCCTAACGGGGGGATCGGGCAGGACCTATTGGTCGCTCGCCCGAAAGTCTTTCGGGTTTTCTCCGAATCCGCACTACTAGTCCTGTCAGGCTTATATTCAGGCCCAACCCCAAATTTACTGGGTGTCGGGCTATAATATAGGTTAACGGGTTTACCCACTAACATTCTCAGCCTGGAAATAATCAGGGGTCGTTTGGATGGATCAATCAGAAATTAGTCAATTTAATCAATTGTCTCGTTTTATAAACGAGGCAATTAAAACGAGTCAATTCGAATTACATGCCCTCATCCCAGGTAA